TTTATTGGAAATAAATAATCTAAATACGTCTATGCAAGGACGTAATCATAGTATTATTAAATTAACTGAAAAAATTACATGTCTAAAAATAAACTCAAATTATGGAGAAATAATGTTGAAGTAAAGAAACTTGCTTCATTCCCGACTCTTAATTTACTTGTTGAAGACAATAATATTGATATCACAGATTTTGAAATACAGAAAATTATTATTAATCATTTAGAAAAAGTGATAGCAGACTTTAATCGATATTTCCCTGCAGGCGATGTTTTCAAATATAAGTGGGTTCGAATACCATTTAATTTTGATGTAAGTGATTTGCATGGGGACATTGTTAATATTAATCAATTTCAAGAACAATTAATAGAAATACAAAGTGACCAAGCACTTCGATACAATTTCTACAAAACACTGAATCTTTATGTCCTTTCTGGTTTAAATTAAAAACCGAAAAGCCAATAATTGTTAAAGAAGGCCTAAAAGTATTATTTCCCTTTTCAACAACATATATGTGTGAGGCTGGTTACTCGGCTCTGTGTGTAATCAAAAACAATCACCGGGACAAGTTAGATCTTGAAATAGATATAAGGTGCTCCTTGACAAGCATTCAACCGAGGTTTGAAGATCTTTCAAAATGTATTCAAGCCCAAGGTTCTCATTAAAACTGTATGACTTATATTTAAAATTTAAAAACTTAACATATGCATTGATATTTCGTTTCTTTTAGGAACATGTTAAAATGTCAATTATTTTCAGAAAGTTATAAATACAGGGTGATTCAAAATTGGCGTCAATCCCCTGGAGGTGTTGTCTGGCGCTGTTATAGGAGTACAGAAAAAATACTAAAAGAAATTGATTGTTATTAAAAACTGAGAAATTTGCAAAAAACTATATCAGAAATACGGCAGCAATGTTTTTCAAGGTAATCTGGCTAATTAACAATGCGCAAATACCTGTTGCTTCGTAATTATTGAAAACTCCGGTAACCATGGAATTATACAGACTGACACTAAGATAGACAAGGATTAACGGTAAATTCAACAAGATTGGTTGACGAAATGTCAACCTGTTCTCATAACCTCGAATTCTGCGTGGTTTTGTGTTTACATAAATTCTCCATACAACACCAAACATTTGAATGGTTAACTCCAAACAAGCTAGTGCCTGTGTAAGCTCTTTATTATCCGTTATTATCAAGCAGCTTCTCGTATTCAGTTAATTAACTCGTGCTCCATTTGCATCTCCTTGTGCTGTGTGTATCGTACAAACGCCTTTCTTCGGTATT